ATTTCGTCAAAAGAGCTTTTCTCAACTACTTGCGTTAAAGTTGATAGTTTAGAATATAAAGCTGGACTTGTTGTTTGCGGTGCCATGGAAGAAAATATGCCTATCTTTTGTCAAATAAGTGATATAATTTTGGTAGAAAATCCCTTTTTTTATAACCATTATCATGCAGTCAGTACTGTAAAGTGAGGAAAGGTGTATTATTAAAAATATCTGAGTTTAAATTTCATAAACCACTTGATATGCAAAGCTTGCACAATGTTTCAGATGAAAGTTTGTATATTGTACCTTAATTTTCATTAATAGTGTTAAATATTTAACTATTTTGAAAGTGTTAATTTACATCTGGAGAGTGTGGAGCTATAAAAAAAACCCTGAAAAAGTGTTGAAATCAACACTTTGATAGTGATACTTAATTCACCTTTTAAAAAAAAATGTGAACCTTTGCTGAGTGTAAAATTTCTACAGATCTCGGTGTGTAGTGTGTTGTTTTGTGGGACTGTGTACTTCATATGCAATCTGAACTCTAATACAGATACAGAGCCAATCCGGCACGCGGCCATGGGGGCACAGGGTAGGCGCTGCTAGAGGCTTTCCGTTAACTGCGCACGCGCGGTGCAACCCCTTCCGCGCTTGCTGCAGCTGCAGCTTTCCGCTCAGTGCTCTACCTTCTGGCACAGCATCACATTTGTTCACCATAGAGCTGGGTTGAGCTGAGCTTTCCTTCCCTTCCCTTGAGAGTTCGTTCCTTGCGTGGACAGATGTCTATCGAGCCATTTCCTCTCCTTGTTCCCAGCCTTTGTGATTCCTCGTCTGCAGAAAACGTTCACGCTCCTGTGACTGGTGAGTACGTGAAGATAGAAACGGGCGGTTTCTGTGGAGCTGCTGCTTCGTAGGTCATGGTAGCTAGCTTGCGAGCGTTAGTTAGTTATTCATTTCTTGGGCCTACTCGGGAACGTGGCCGGGCACCTCCTCCTGGTTAGCTTTCACTAGCAAACCCCCTTTGAGGTGTTTCAGCTAGACACTGTTTATGTACGGTGGGCGAAAATGTCAAGCTAGCTATCGGAGCTAGCAAAAGCTCTCATATGCTTCAGTTGGAGCTGTTTAAGCATTTGTTAGTGCAAAAGTAAGTTGGCAAAACATTGTAGCTGTGATGGTTAGCAGTGCGTCCAGCATTAGCAAACTAACTTACACAGGTAACGCTATTATTCTTATGTTACTTAGCAACGACCCTGTCAGTGTGCATATTTATGCTCACCTTGCATTGAGTGTCTTGGCTGTGGTTGATCTTCTTGTTTATAGTCCGATAATGCAAGCAGCAAGTCAGACTGGCCTCCTCATGCTTGAACTTCAAATATTCAAAATATTCATAACATGGTTATGTGTCATTACTTTAATTAATAGCATTTTTAAAGTTATTGTGTTGCACATAGAGGAAACACTTTATGGTTAATGTTTCCCTAGAATTAATGTCATATCAATGACATTACCCTTTTTTGTTTTTGAGTGAAATCTGTGGCAGTTTTTAGGTTTCATCCATTCTTTGCCACATTAAAATGCACATTAAATTAAAGCTCAGTACAGAAAGTAAGGAAACTTCTTTGATTAATTATTTGTTTGTTTTAATGCTTCTTGGCAGTAAATCTGATATTGTTGGAAAGCCTATTTCTTTTCCCTTAAATGCTGCCATATTTGTTTGGAAATTGCATTTGTGGGTTGAGCAGCAGAGTTGAGTATATAAGTTGCGCCCGTGGGGAAAAAACGTGCCAAACCTAGTCTGGGACTGACGAGAAGATGTCATCTAAGATGACAATGTCACAGAGCAGGGTTTATCAGAGACTACTTCCACAATTTAGAAGTGAGAGGATCCCTGCAGTTCTGGCCTCAACCTCACTGACCACTATTGAGATCAGCTTGGGCGTATTGTCGTGCTAGAGTGAGCAACACAACTGTATTGGCTGACTTGTGACAAATGCTAGTTGAAGAATAGCTGGTGACCAGCATAAGGAGTAGGTGCCAGGGTGCCGTGCATTATGCTTACAAATGGAGTACCATTTAAGGGGAAATAAACAGGCTTTCTGACAGTATAATATTTATGTCCAAGAAGTAATGTTACAATAATTACTTTTTGTATATTTTGTGCTCTTTGTATATAGAGCACAAAAATTGTTTGTCATGCTCTTTTTAATAAAAACGCTCAGCATAATGTGGCCTTTAGTTAGATAAGAGGGCAGCGTTTGTGTTTTGTTTGTTTTTTTAACTGGTGCCCTTCCCGACACAAGGGATATTTTACTTGTTAGGAAAATGTGTAAACCACTACACTAAATCTTCTAATGTAAATAATTATTATTTAAAAATAAAATAAAAAATTTGGCATCATAGTTCCAACCGATCTTTCTGCCATGATTGATGAACTACCAGAAAATCCACCTACCTCAGAAAGCTTAAAACTGGTCATCTAGACTGAGACCAGCAGCAAGAAAGTAGTACTGGGTAACTGGTCTATCTTCAAAGCCTCTCATGAATCTGTGTGTACTGAACTAGACTAGTTTTGTGGTAGTTATATTGTTGATACTTGATCATCATTTACTCAACACAAAATATTTTTTTTATTTGAGAGAATTTATTTCTGGTTTTCTTGAGCTATAAACAGTCATCATCAAAATTGATCAAAACAGACTTAAATATTTGTTAAACATGTAATGAATATAGAATATATGAAACCATATGCATTCTTGAAATAACCTCTCAGTGCTGTTATAAGCTGTTAGCTGTGGTTCACTTCAAAACAGTATAATGATTAGAATCAGAAATTACTATAAAATCAGTGTTTCTATTATCTATTGTCTATCCCACACAGCTTTTTATTATCTTTGTCACATCAGTGTTTTGATTTCTGTAAAAATTGTAAAAAGCTGTAGGTGAAGTAGAGTGACAAATTCTTGACAAGAAACATTTTTTTGAAACCCTAAATCACAGCATTGCCAGTATAAATGCACAACTATTCGGTCCCTAGAAGTGACTTAAAATAACATTTTTGATATGGCAGCAAGGTTAAGAAAGCGTTTTAAGCTGCTAAAGCAAAGTAACAATAAAAATGTTGGAGTCAAACAAGTCTTTAAGAACACAAAATATGGTAAACAAAATAAAGGTAACAGCAGCTACAAATGATTGGTGTGAAAATTCAGTAAGTGACTGTCATCACTGTCTTCTTTCAGCTGCTCTTTTTACAGCTTGCGACAGCAGATCATCTGCCTCCATCTATCCCTAGCATACTCTTCTGTTGCATCAACCCGCTGTACGTTGTCTTTTACTACATGCCTCTTTTCTGCGTGGTTTGCAACTCCGTCTTTAACATCCTTTGTCCAGTATATCTACTGTCACTCCTCTGCGCATGTCCAAAACATCTCAGCCTTTTCTCCTTTGCTAACTGCTCTATCTGAGCTGCCCCTCTAACATATTCATTTTAAATCTGGTCCACCCTGGTCTCTCACTCTGAAAATCTTAACATCTTCATCCCAGCTTCCTGTATACATCATAGAGGTCTCACTACCTTCTCTTTCACTCTCGGTGCTGTCCTTCTATCACAAATCACCCCTGGCACTCTCTTCTTCACCTGTTTTGCACACATTTCATTGCTTTCAGCTATTTTCGGCTACTCCCGTATTGCCACAGCAGGTAGCTATCCATGTTTGACTTGGCAGATTTTAATGCCAGATGCCCTTCCTGATGCAAACCCTAAAGGATTTGTCTCCTCTCCAGACACTGTCCATCACTATGGAGATTATGTTGGTTTCTCCTTTAATTTATCACGCTATCTGTATCAGCTAAGAGATTTCCTTTTTTTTTTTTTTTTTTTAAATATTTGGGTAGTGTAAAATTAATGATGGGACCTGTGTTGATTTGCATTACATGTGAGTGGCTGTGAGTGAGTGCAGTTTATCGCATGACCAAACATGCAGCCATCTGGTTTTGCTCAGCAGCACAGCTTTGTTGAGGCTCTCCCAGTTGGGCATGCTTCAGAGGCAGAATCACAGTATCACAGGTCTGCACATTTTTTTCCTGCTGTCAGGAGTAAGTGGAAATGCACCTCATCATGCCAGTGGAAATGAGGGTCAGTCTGTAGCTCGAGGACCTGATCCCATTTCTGCAGAAAGACCTGATAGATTCTTCTGCAGTCCCTCCAATCTAGGGCATGCTTCATCTGCTCTGTAGAATGAGGTGTTGAGAGGAAAGACCTTTGCAAAAGGCAGCTCTGTCCAAGCGTGTCTTTTACCACATATTTTTTTATGGTTTCAAATGTATCGCTTTTTTTTTGGAGAAGACGTGATAAAGAATTAATATAGTTTGGTCATAGTCACTAACATCCCAAATTACAATGGGCCTCATTAATAGTGTGTCCTATATTATTTGTTTTCCCCTTTTATTCACATATATATATAATTTATTAGGGGTGCAACAATACTCGTATCGATATTGAACCATTCAATACAGTGCTTTCGGTTCGGTATGCATATGTATCGAACAATACAATTTTTTTTATTTATTTTATCAACTTTTCTTCTGACGATGCTTTCTGTGTTGAGCACTCAGTGGATCTGCAGATCCACTGAGCGCAGCGCAAGCTAGCAAGACAGAAGCTAAGCTCGTTGCAACATGGCAA